CAAAAAAAAAAAAAAAAAAGAAGGAATAACGAAGGCAGTTCTGGGCAACAAAGGTAAGGCAAGAGGCATCACAACCCCTGAATTGAAATTATACTATAAAACCACTGTGATAAAAACAGCACAGTACTGGCAAAAATAAAGACACGAGGATCAACGAAACAGACTAGAAGATGCAGAAATAACTCCAGACATACTCAGCCACCTTATCTTTGACAAAGGTGCCAAACACCTTCACCGGAAGACAGTCTGTTTAATAAATGTTGCTGGAAAAACCGGCTCTCTACAACCAAAGATTAAAATTAGACCCATTATCTTTCACCATGCTCTAAACTAAAATCAAAATGGATCAAAGATCTAAATATTAAAACAGAAACATTAAATTTGCTGGAAGACAGAATAGGTAAAACTCTTGAAGACACTGGTATAGGCAAAGACTTTATGAATATAATCCCGACAGCACAGGATTATCACAAAGAACCAACAACTGGGACCTCATCTTATTAAAAAGCTTTTATACCACAAGAGAAACCACCAACAGAATAAAGAGACAATCCACAATGTGGGAAAAACTGTTCACCAGCTGTTACCCAGACAAAGGACTGAGAACATATAAAGAACTCAAAAATATCAGATGCCCAAATTTAAAGACCTAATCAAAGAACGGGCATCTGGGATGAATACACACTTCTCAGATGAAGAAATACAAACAGCAAATAGATATATGAAAAAAATGTTCACTATCACTGGTCATTCAAGAGATGCAAATTAAAACAGTGAGACTCCATCTCACTCCAGAAAGAATGGCTATTATCAAGAAATCAAGCACTAAGAAATGCTGGTAGGGCTGTAGGGAAAAAAGAACCCTTCTCCACTCTTGGTGGGAGTGTAGACTGGTACAACCACTGTGGAAATCAGTGTGGAGATTCCTCAAAAAACTAGGACTAGAGGTGTGATTTGACCCAGCCTTTCCTCTCCTGGGTATCTTCCCTAAAGAATTAAAAGCATCATACCACAGTGACACATAAACACCTGTGCTTACAGCAGGACAATCTGTAATAGCTGAACCTTAAAAACAACACAAGTGCCCATCAACTGATGAATGGATAAAGAAGACGCAGGGCTTTTTTATACAATGGAGTACTACTCTGCCATAAAGAAGGATGTGCTCAAGACATTTCTAAGAAAATGGATGCACCTTGAGTATGTACTCCTAAGTGTGAATACTGCACTGTTTCTCTGGTGTGAGAAACCAAAAGTGTAAATAAGGGCCAAAATGTATTTTGAAATAGGAGGAAAATGTTCAAATGGGGAGAGGAACAGGAGAGCGGGGAGTAGGGAAGGGAAAAGTAAAAAAATATATAAAACATGGAAAAAACGGAAACAACACTTTGTAAATGGGGAGGGGAGGGGAATGGGGAAGAAAAAAGCGTTATGTCATGAACAGGTGCAAATTCTCTTTGATGAATGTGATTGTTATGTATATCTAAAATGTACCAATAAAATCTAATTTAAAAACTAAAATATGCCAGGCGTGGTGGCGCATGCCTATAATCCCAGCACTCGGGAGGCTCAGGCAGGAGGATCCTTGTGAGTTCGAGACCAGCCTGGGCTACAAAGTGAGCACAAGGCCAGCCTGAACTGCATAGTGAGACCCTGTCTCAAAAAGAACCCCCAAAATAAATAAATAAATAAAACGCTTTATGTGTTAAGTTCTATGTTTATGAGGTAAATGGAAAATACACTAACACGGGAATATTCCCAAGACACTTCCTGAGATGAAAAGCAGGCTATAGGACCCCACTTACGTTAAAAGAAACTCCCAACTATATGCACTTGCCCTTGTCTGCGTGCTAACGAGTGTACATATGTACATATACAGACACACTAGTTTTCAGGACTCTTAAGGAAAAAAAACAGCAAGGGAGCAAAATCTCTGCACAGTACAGAGGCTGTGTGCTCCGTAAGTTAATGCGCTTCTCATTTTTCATGCCTCAAGTGATGATTATGTAAAGTAAATTAAGCACAGACATGGCAATTTTAATAACTCCATTAAGTTTATGGCTCATAAAATGTGCCAGATGATGTTAATTAGTTAACTACATCTAGTTTAAGTCAACAATAATGACTGTTGTTTCTTATGGAGTCAAATACAGTACCACCAGGGTTAAATGCACCTCAGCTGATTTCCAGCTTTAACAGCAACTAGAGAAGCTGCAGGTGCAGTCAGTGGTAAAGCGCTTTCCTAGCATGCTCATGGCCACACACTTGAGCCCCAGTGCTACAAAAAACAAAATCAAACTTCACACTGTGCCTTCACAAAGGGGACACACTAAAATCCTGTAACATGCCTGCAGAACAAAAATTTACATTTTCATTTGCTTGAACATAATAATAAGCAAAAGTAGCAAAAGTATTCCAGGCTGGGAGTTCTGAGGCCTAGAAGAATTCACTACAGCTCACATACAGTATTTAGTAGTTAGCAAGTTACCTATTCACAGATATTTTGTGTGTGTGTGTGTGTGCATGTATACATGTGCATGTGCGGTTTTTTGAGTCAAGATCTCACTATGTAGCCTAGGCTGGTCCTCCTGCCTCAGCCTCCTCAGGGCTGGAATTATAGGCCACCATATCCAGCCAGTAACTTTTTTTTTAACTCTATCAGATTTACTTGGTTTGGACATCTAATCAGGACTAAATGACAACATGTAAGATCACAAAAAAAATCCTTCAATTTTATGTAAAGAGAAGGTACCACCCCATCCTGCTAATGCAGGCTGACCAAGGCATGGTAAGTAAAGATGCTGACTCTCAACCGCCTAGAATCCAATTAGGTGAAAACAGAAAGCACCCAGTAACCCTAGAGCCCAGGTTTACGATCAGAAGGGAAGACAACGCAAATACCCTTGAGCCCTCTCTGACCCCCAAGGTACTTTCACACTGGGCAGGACCTGGCCTCCCGCTGGAAGCACGTTACTGCAAGCTTCTTCATTGTCTGGAACTAGACTGTGCCCTGGATTAGCACAGGTTGATCTTAAATGCACCACACCCTGAAAGCTACTTGTGCGCGTTTTTCACTCTTCCTTTAAAAAGGGGATTACAAACTTCTTTTTTCAGACCTGCCTTTTATATGCTTTAGCATAGCAAGCTGACAGCAATGTAAACAGACTAACAATACACAACCTGAAAGAGGAGACTTTAGATTTCTTAACTGAGGAAATAAATGCTTTTCTCTTTAGTATTCAACTACTAAACAAAAACCAAACCAAACAAAAAGGAGTCTTTGATTCATAGGGTAAAAAATTTCCAGGGTGTATTAAATCCACATGGGATACTGTACACTTCTGGTTTGTGTACTTTCTTGGTATTCAATTTAAAAGTTTCTAAAACCCTATGACTTGAAACTGGGCGCGCCTGTAATCCCAGCACTTGCGAGGCTGAGGCAGAAGGATCACTGTGAGGTCAAGGCCAACCTGGACTGCATAGTGAAACTGCCTCAAAAAGACAAAAAAAAAAACCCACACACACACAAACAAGAACACCCTATGATACGTAAGGATGAATCCTACATTTCCAATAAAATTATTATACTGTTGTAATTATTTGACCACTTACCAGTTTGGATACAAACGTGAAAAGGTTATACTTTTCCTCAGAAATGAGTCCTAACAGGCATCAGAGAAATACACAATAAAAACCCAGTTCTACCTTTTAGTCTTTTGAAAAGATCTAATCTAATTAGAAAGATGACCCTGGAATTATTATTTTTTAAAAAGCAGCAAATATAAACATACCAACTTCACTTTCAAACAAGAGTTTGGACTTGGGTCAAACTCTTAAGATTTTTCTTCCTTAGCCAGCTAATGCAAAGTGATTATGTAGTTTCAATCTGAGTTCTTCTGTCCAAAAAAATTATATACTGTCTACAGGAGTTTGTGTGTGCATTCATGCATGATCTGTGTGGTACTAGAGATTGAACCCAGGGCCTTTGCACTGAGCTACATCTGTAGTCGACAACCCCCACTGTTTAAATTCTGAACTAAAGTCTCACTAAGTGCCTAAGTTGCTCAGGCTGGGCTCTAACTTGCCATCCTCCTGTCTCAGCCTAGCTAGTTTCTGCCTCTGATCTAAACTTCTTCACCAAGATCTGGCAACCTAGATATCAGCCTCTACTCTCCCACCAACCAGGCGTGCCAACTATTTGACATCTCTCAGATTAAATTTGCTCACCCACTGAAGGAGGAAGGGGAACTAACATTTTAAGTTTGAATGAATCCACTCAAACTAAACTACTATGTAAGAAAGAATGTATTTTTAAAGAAGGAAGTAAGAATGCAGGTGAGACTATAATACGGCAAAAGTCATGACTACGGTTAATGAGAGCAGTGAGAGATAAACAGTGTGCTGGGACGAGGGTTCTGATCGCTCACTCAGCAGAAAAACCTCAAAAAAAGATCAAGATTCAATATGAGTATATGGCAATACTGCATCTCACAATGACGATGTTTATTACATACTGTAAACATATATTAATAAATTTTTAAAAAATCTTTAATAAAAACTTTGCATCAAAAAAATAAAAAATTCATATCAAGCCGGCTGTGGTGGTGCACACCTACAATCCAGCACTAGGGAGGCTGAGGCAGGAGGATCACTGTGAGTTCGAGGCCAGCCTAGGCTACATAGTGAGACCCTGTCTCCAAAAAAAAAAACCCAAAAAAAAACAATAAAATCCAAATAAATAAATAAAGACCCTGTCTCGAAAAACAAAACAAAACCAAATTTACATGAAAGCCTAATACACCAAAGGGACAAGATGCTGTTTCCATTGATCCCTTCACCTTTGACTGTCCCACCTCCTGCCACCACCAGCTACACACACATACACTAATGTACATATACATTGACTCCAATGAGCAGAATTCAAGTCCACTAACTCAAATGTTCAAGAGTCTCAGTCAACACTTCTTTAGTTTTTTTCTTCCAAAGGCCATCTAAGATAATGCACTAAGGGCTTTTCTATGATTTCGTAAAGCCAAGGGAGCACCCTGGTATGAAATGATAAACTGGTTTGCCCTCAGTGTTTGAAGCAAAAGCCAGGTGGGGTAAGACCTGACAGAGTACACAGTAGTGACAGGGTTCATACACGGAAACTCCTGATGGCGCATATTCACCTAGGACAAGGAGAGTGAAGAAGATGGTCATGCCACTGGACTGCTCCTCCTGCTGAGCCTGCTCCCCTGTCTGCACAGGGAGGATGGGCTTGGCAGGGGTCGGGAGCACCAGCTTTGTGGTGACACCCAGGGTGGTGTGGAGTGTGACATTGAGACTCTCGTGAGTTGTATTGGAGAACCTGTTGGAAGACATAAAAAGCAGCAGCATTAGACAAAACAGAAAAAGGCTCTGAAGTATCAATATGCACACTGTAAACTGGAAGGAGGGAGAGCGTTTTAAGGGAGTCACAGGTTTTGCAAAGGAGATGAAGGAAACCCTGCCCGCACAGCAGGAGAATAGCAGCGGTCTCAGTGCTTTTCAAGCCTTCTACAGGGCAGGAGCAAGGGGGAGCAGGGCTGGCGCAACGCTGCCTGGTCTCCAGTACTCGATGAGGGGCCAGCTGGAGTCTCATCACATCCCACAGCCCGACACTATTTAGTGCTTTTATTTCCCCGCTTTACATTTCCCTCCAATTATTTCTGCAAGTCAAAAAAGCCACTTGAGCTTGCCCAGTTGTTGATCTGGTCACAATTTCCTACCCCACCTCAAGAAATTCTTCTCAGATTTCCTAAGGCTCAGGTTACCCGCTCTGTAATACCCCACTCCACCCAATCTCCCCACCCTACCCCACAGCTATGCGCCCGCACTCTTCCTCCATTGTGGTGAAGCTGTGAACTAGGGCAAACCGCTCTCATGATAATAATGATTATGAAAATTGCTATTTATCGAGCCCAGCGTCATTCCAGGAAATAGGTAACACGACACTTCCCGAGATTCCCTAACTTGGCCAACGTCTCTGTCAAGGGCAGAATCAAGCTTTCAAACACACATCACTGGGCAACACCACCTTTTCTGTTTGGTGCACTTGAGGCCTAGTCCACTGTCTGAGACAGAGCAGATGCTCAATAAATAAATCCACTAAATGACTTGCCACCCACCTAAACAGACATCTGAAACGACGTAGGTGGTGGAGACCAGTCAATCAAGGGGACTCCTTTTTAACTTCACATGCTCCACAGACAGGACATCCATGTAACATGAGGCAGATGGTGGCCATCTCCAGGTATGCGGATGGGGACTCACAGTGGTCTAGAGAAAACAGATCCTTCCTCACCTCACCACGTACAGCTACTCCACCTACACTCCAACCATTCCGCCTTTCTGTCACTCTAAAGTACTAAGCCATTGCCTGATCACGGCCTTTCGGACATAATCTCACCCTCCCTACCCTCTGTTCATCGAACGCAGACGTCCCTTCTTACAGATTCCCCCACTCTCGCACATTCTACAGTATTTTTCCTTTGGCGTGCTTAACACGATTCGAAACCACCTTGTTTGTCCATCTATGCTGTTCTTTTCCCATTAGAGCGCACGGTCCTTGAAGGCAGCTCCTGATCTGCCTCCTTTGCTACTATGTGCCCAGGTCTGCAATTACGTAGACAAGCAAGTTAATGAATGAGTGAAATTTAGTGGTTGACACAGACGCGACAACCAGTCGTTACACGGAGACTGGCTTAGCAGGGGGTGGGGTGGGGGTGGGGGTGGGGAGGACTTTCTGGAGGAGGCAGAGCGCTTAGTACTCTTCAGATAATTGAAGACTGGGAAAGTGAAATACGGCTCCCGGTTCCGGCCAAAGAGATCCCGCGGTGTGCGGTGGGTGGCCGATCCCAGGCCGGGGGGTCCGGCCTGAAAAAGGCTGTAGAGCCCGAGCGCGCCCAGACCCATCCCGCCCTCCTCGTCGGCGCCGGCACGGTCTGCGTGGCCAACTGCCACACGGAGCTCCGCCTTCCAAGGCCAGAGGCTCGCCGTCACCCGCCGGGGCCCAGCCCTGCCGCCTCCGCAGCCCCGGAAAAGCCCACTCACTCCTCTTCCGCCATCTTCTCCCCAATCCTGCGAAGCCTCCAAGACCACCGAGTTCCAGGCCGCGGGGGTAGTACGGCCCACGTCGCTTCCGGCTTCCGCTGGAGGCGCGAGCGGGCCGGAGAGTGAAGGCGGGGCCTCGGCCAGACCGGGACGACCCTCTGTCCCGTCGTCTCAGTGGCCCAAGGGTGGGAGGAGACGCGTGGGCGGACACTTCCGGGGCTTTCAGGGCGACTACCAGAGTAGGTGTCCTGACTCGTACCACGAGGGTTTTTCTGATTTTCTCCATCGCTGGCCAAAGGCGATTTCGGGTAAACTGCGAGGTCACAGAGGCTCACCCTGAGAGCCAGTTCCCACCACCCAATGCTCTGGAATTTCCTCTGCTAAGTGCGGGGCACTCAATTTGAAGCCTAGTCTGTGCGTGAGATCCAGGCTGGTTACTCGGCAATCCTAGCCTGTTTCCCGCAGCTATTGAGAGGCATAACCACGTGGACTTTGCAGGATTGTTCAGCATTCTATCAATAATCACTTATGACTGTGTGGCATTAAAATAGGTGCTGAGGGGCGGGTGTGCTGGCGCATGCCTGTGATCCTAGCATTCAAGGCTGAGGCAGGAGGATCACTGAGAGTTCAAGGCCAGCCTGGGCTACATAGGAAGAACCTGTCTAAAAACAAAGGTGCTCACGATGGGGGAATGGATCGTTCACTCATTCACTGATTCAACAAGACTTTTTTATTTGCAGTCCTGGGGATTGACCCCAGGGCCTGAGCTACCCCTAGGACCTGATTCAACAAATTCTTGGCTTTTGTGTCTGGGGTAGTCCAGAGCAATTGAACCCATGCTTACTTAACACTGAGCTACGTCCCCCAACCCTTTTTTTTTTTTTTTTTAATTTTGAGACAGGGTTATCCTGAGTTGCTGGATTGCCCAGGCTGGGCTTGAATTTGTGATCCTTCTGCCTCAGCCTCTCAGAGTGCTGGAACTACAGGCATGTCCAGCCCTTGGCATCCACAAATTCTTTTCTGCTTTGTGCATAATAATGCGGTGGGGTTAGGGCTATAGGAAGGTACGGGGTGAGGCTGTGAGGGTAGGTGGGACCCCATCAGGAAGGCTAAGCCCTTATCGGAAGGCCTTTGGGTTTGATTGACCCCTCTTGCTTGCTTTCCGTCCAGGCCACAGTATCTCACCTAGTAGTCACAGGAGCTCTCTAGATGGTCTCTTTTTGGTCGTCTACACATGGGCCAAAGTGATCCCTTAAAACTCTAGTCAGTCCTGTGCTGAAAACCTGTGATGGCTTCCAACCAAAAAAATAAACCCTTGGACAACCTACAGGAATCGTCCTGTTCCCTTGACCCCATTAAGCTGTACACAGCGTACCACACATAACACACACACACTGACACTGACATACTTTGGATCTAAAATATCCCCCAGAGGACTCGTGTGTTCACAAGTGGGGTTTTTGGAAAGGAAGTGGATGATGAGGGCTGTAACTTCGTCAGTGGATTGACCACCAATGGGTTCAGAATTTGATGGGATTGTTGGGAGGCCTTGGAAACCCAGGAGGTGGGGCCTAGTAGGAGGGAGAGGGTCTTGAAGATGCGACCTTGGGAACCATATGCGGTCGCTCTCTCTGACCCAAAATAATCCTTTGAGTTCTTTCTCTCTGTATTTTGTGTCAGTGACAGAAACTCACTCAAAAGACGTATTTTTTTCCTGTTGTCAAATGGCTTCCCCCGTGTGCTCCCAACGCCAAGAACACTTCCGCCTTTGCACTTGCTTGGCCCTTTGTCTAGAAGGCTCCGAGGTGACCCCTTGGGCTCTCCTCTCACACTTTCCAGCTTTAGCCCTTACCTTGTGCATCAGGCCTCCCCGGCCACCCTGTATAAAGTTCAGCCCCTCACAGCTTACTTTCACTGTTTTTCCACAGCTCTCCTAAAATACTGTGGGTTTCGCTCAGGTATTTGTTGTCTATCTCCCTCAGTGCAGATGGAACCTTAATGAATACAGGAGTTGTTCGGAACAACAACAACGAAAAAGGAATGGGCTGGGGATTTAGCTCAGCGGCACAGCGCCTCCCTGGCAAGTGTGAGATCGTGAGTTTGATTCCCGGTACCGGAAAAACCACCACCAACAACAAAAACCGAACAAACAAACAAAAAACACAGGGGTTGTTGTCTGTTTTGTTTTCTGTGCCTAACATAGTACCAGGTACATAGTGGATGCTCAACCATTGAAAAATAAGTAACTTAGTTCATTGTAGGCGTGTCAGAAAGCCACAGAAGGGTTTTGATCTGAGAGGGGGTGGGACCCGGGCTGCCTAGGGAAGAGCTGAGTGGAGTGGGGGTGGGATTCTAGGGCCGAAGCCCTAAATTCACCCAGGAGGCTTTGTGATAATCCAGGTGCAAGTGGATGGCGGTTTGGAAAAAGGTGACACGTGGAGGTGGCAGGGAGGCTGGACTCAGGCCGCAGACGTGGGTGGGGCTTGCTGATGGACTGCGGCAGAGGAGAGAGGATGAAGTCAGGGTTGTGGCCCTGAGGAACTGGGCTGAGAAGAGCTCTGTTTGACCGAAACGTGTTCTCCACCTCCTAAGACCTCTTAGGATGGGTCTCAAAACTCACTGACAGAGTGTGGTGAGGCTCCTCCCGTGTTTACTGTGTCCTGCCTGCAGGTGTGGTGCCGAGCTATTATTTCCTTCATTCCTAACATGATTTTGCGTGGGATACAATCATAATCCCCAAACGGAACCCCAGGGAAGCCAAGCCATCTTCTTGGAGTCACACAACAAGCAAGCGCTGAAGCTGGGGTTTAGGAGTGGAGTTTGATTTTTAACCAGTAGCCCAGTGGCTTGGAACTGTCTGTTTCCCTGGCTCTGAAATGGGCCAAATAGCTCGCTTCCATCGCTTAGCACAGAGCCTGGGGGGAAAGGAGTGAGCCATATAACTGAGGTTTGAGGCCGTCACTTTTTCTAGCCTTAGGAACCCCATGGGAGACTGAGACAGAGCCCAGGAGAGCTCTTATCAGGCACGTGGTGGCGCATGCCTATAATCCCAGCACTCAGGAGGCTGAGGCAGGAGGATCATTGAGAGTTCGAGACCAGCCTGGGCCACAAAGTGAACTCAAGACCAGCTCGAACTGCATAGCAAGACCCTGTCTCGAAAAGACAAAAAAAAAAAAAAAAAGCAAACAAAACAAATAACACCATCTGGCTGGGTGATGCTGGGGATGCCCCTCCCACCGCTCATGGGCCCACTGGCCTCTGCACAGCACCTGCAGGCATGGCCAGGTCAGGGCTTTGTGTCAGCAGTCCTGTGGGAGATGCAAACAGCCTTGGCTTCCTCTGGGGCTGCTGCCAGCCCCGAGGCTGCAGAGCACCTGCTCTTTGTACCTGTCCCTGTGAGTGGATCTAAAATCCCGGGTCATTGCCCAAGGAAGGCAAATAAAACCACTGGACACACAGTTCCCAGGCCCTGGGGTTGAGCCAGGCACTGGCGCAGGGCACAGTGAGCTTTGGCGCTGCTGGTGATGCTGCTCTCGGGCCTGAGAGGGCACGGAGCCCCAGGCACCACCAGTATCGGGCAGCGCCTCTTTATGCAGCTGTGAGAGGATTAGAAACCACTCCTGCCTCTGTTCCCTGTGCGTGAGCCGTTCTGCCCATCTCCCTCCACTCCTCCTCCTCGTCACTGTTTTCACTTTGCATCGCCTCATTGTAAATGTCGGCTCTTCCTGGAGGCCCTCCCAGGCCACTCAGCAAAGAGCAGGGTGGGTCAGCAAACTTTTGCTGTAAAGAGCTGACATGAATTCTGTGTGCTTTGCGGGGCCTGTGACGACGGTGAGGTGCCAACTTGGCTGTAGTCTGACAGCAGCTGTGGGAGATGCAAACAGGCATGGCTGTGTTCCAGTAAAACTTTATGGGCACTGAAGTTTGTCCTATTATTTTCACGTTGCACGAAATATTATTCCAGGTTGAATTTTTTTCAACCATTTAAAAATGTAACTTGTCAGCTCAGCATTTGGGAGGCTGAGGCAGGAGGATTGCTGTGAGTTCAAGGCCAGTGTGGACTACACAGTGAGACCTTGTCTCAAAAAAAGCAAAAACAAATAAAAATATAAAGCCTTTCTTAGCAGATCAGTCACAGCAAAGTAGGTAGCAGGCTGGATTTGGTACTCAGCTGCTGCCGTCTAACCTGCCATCTAACACAGGAAAGTGTCTCTGAGGTATATGTTGATATCCGGTATTTTTTTCCCCCGCTTCTTTCCTTCCCTCTTTTTTTTTTTTTTTCTTTTTGAGGCAGGGTCTCACT